CGGGGAGGGTGTGGGGTTCTGTCATATTATTACATCGTCATTCCATTGTTTCTCGAGAATAATATCTCTGGATGTGCTCGCGTTGATTACCATATGTCGGAAATAGCATACCGAAAAACATATTTATGAATATATTAGTAAATCTTCCAAATGAACATTGAATACAAGGGTGTTTTGGATGTTTAGCACGAGCTAAGCGTGTATTAAGAGTCGAGACCGGGTCGTAAAAACGAGTCAGATGTAGCCCGTACTTAGCGTTTTGTTACAGCCCGTACTAAGTGTTCCCGCACTTTTCGTAAAACAGGCTAACATGTGCGCTAACACAACTTACGCCTTTCCCTAATCTCTCCTGTCGATGAAACGCCCCCAAAATTGAACATGTGACAACACTAATTACGTAAGATTAATGTGATAATGTCAGATAGCCATTCAAGCATATCATTTCCCAAAACCAGCCATGCGAATAAAATTATTGAATTACTAGAGCAAATCGATGATTGATTTCATTAAACACATTTTAGCGCCAATAACATTCTGTTAGAGGCATTGCACACAAACAATATTGTTTTCGTTTATTTTATTTAAAAAGGACTGACACTCCCCAGTGGTCGACGTACGGTTCGGATATTGTAGAAACAACAGAATCACACGTGTCCTGCCGATGGTCTCATCTAACGAATTTCGCGATATTGATGATGCCTGTGGCAGTGCAAGTGAGTCAACATCTTTATTATTAACCGATCATTATTATTAATCATTACTTCAAGGCACCAACTCATGGCGAGGTCTAGTTGTTGTGTTGTATATTTCTTGTTCTTTTCATTTGAAACAACAAATGTTATTTCACACTGGCTGTCAATTCATCGTACGGTTTACGTACATTTAACACATAACTATGTATTCCACTATATACAGGGTATGGAAATGCACAACGACGTTCTAAATGTACTAACATATATAGGATGTTCACTTTCACTTTTTGGTATCATACTGACGATTGGTTCAATAATCTACTTCAGGTGAGCTTTACCCAATGTCGGGGACTGTAACACTGTACGATTCACTGTACGAGCCGCAACACAACGCCCTAGCTATTACAACTGATAATGCAACATTTGTTGTAAACACGCAACCGTAAACTGATATGAACCATTCTCAGATTCAAAAATGCTGGAATGAGAAAACATTGTTCTCTGAAGCACGTTTCTAATGGCTGCAATGGCGCGTGTATGAAATCATCTCAATAAACCTTCCCATGTGCGCAATTTGCGCTCGTAAAATAAATTGTTTCTATTGTGAGTTTAACACATAACTGAGCGTGCATGTAACAGCAAATACTTTCAAGAGTGTATGAATTATTGAGATACATAGGTTGATGTTTTTTATTACGCCCGGGGATGTTTGCAATTTAGAGAACTTCATTTTAACAAGCAATAACTTCTCATTTTATTTTAAAATCTAGATTAAAGTCTGAACGTTTCCTGATATTACTAAATCTCACTGCGGTACTAGCTGCCGGCCAAATCACGTTCTTGGCAGGTGCTGACGCCGCGCATAATCAGGTTAGCATGTTTTTGCTCATGTGAACGATTCGATGAAGCACATTACTCAACCGGGATATCTTACACGAATTCGAATTCATCTGAGAAGGAGCAGATGTCAGCAGTTTTGCCTTTTTGCAATTATTATAAATACCCAAAATATATTTATTTTGGCAGATATTTAAAAAAAACGACTCCCAAAACAAGTGTGTATTGCTGCTACGAGGTCAAAAGTTAAAGACACTTCTGCCCATGTGCAAAACTGTAGTCAATTTGTAGCAATATAGTCACGTACACAGTCTTTATACTGCGATATGTCAGTTTAATATGTATTCAATCTACCCATGGTATATAGCGGTAATGATGTTTTGAATTCCATACAGCACGATACACGCTGCCATGATACAATGACCACCTGTCATAGTATTTTGTTTTTCGCTGCACCCAGAATAGTCGATTTCTTGTATAACCATAGAGCTAAACGTTCGTATTTGTAATTGTTTTTGGTAATTTCTTGTTGATATTTGCAAATTAGATTTTGTAAAGTCCGCGCTAATAAGTTCATCTGACATCTTGTTAAATCGTTTCAAAACTCTAATTGCACAAACCGTTTCAGAATGTATTCTCACAGTTTGCCTACTACGTGTCACAATATAACTCGTCTGAAATGATATTAATCTGTATTTCACTGGAGAAGTTTCCCTAAGACACAATACGACAGTTTTAGCAAGTTATGAAAAAATGTATGACGTTAACATGGATTTGAATTTGCCTCCTACAGGCAGTATGTACTTTTATAGCTATTCTTCTACACTACCTTTACCTCGCTGTATTCCATTGGATGCTAGCTCAGGGAATACAATTATACGTCAAGGTACGGAACATTTGGCATGGTCGTTACAGACTGGTGTCCTTTTACTGTATCGGTTACGTCACACCAGTGGTAATAGTAGCTGTATCTATGGCAACTGGACTCGAGAATTATGGAACTGCATCATAGTGAGTTTCAATCACACATTTTCTCTATAAATGTTGTTTATGACTTATACAGTTGAGTGGAATTCCATGTATAACAACTAAAAACAGGGTTGCGTGTTTTGTGTTGTTTCAGCGTTAAAGTGGGAGGGTCGTCACCTGTGCACGCGTGGGACTTGAGTCCCAGGCGATGATAACAACACATGCTAATAACGCAAAGGCTCATGGGTAGAAGCTTGTTTGTAAACAATGACACGATATGCCACCTGACGCATGCGTAGGTGACGACTCCCCCGCTTTAAATTGGCGGTGTCTCAATGTTTGTTTTTCTATCATATGCACTTGATACCCTCGTCACATGTACCGAGTGTTGAAACAATTGAACTCAACTGCAAGAGTAATTGGTACAATATTTCTAGCGCCAAGTGTATATGTATAATTCTTGAGTTAGCCATTTCTTATAGGTTGCGTTGCATTGTGGAAACTCAGATTACTTGTTAGAGCTGCATAGCGAGTGAGATAAAGATAAACTATATATTGATCAGTAAAAATATATATTCGTCAACTGGTAAATTCAATGCTTGTTATCGAATTTATATTGTAGCTGTTGGTTGTCTACAGGAGACGGTCATATTTTTGCATTCATTGGCCCGGCCATGTTTGTTATATTGGTGAGTAGCCCATTTTTCCCGGCATTTATTTTTTTTTATTTTGCCACAACAGTAAAATCAGTGCAGTTCAACTTCGTAATCCCATGTGACAACCGAACTGAATATTTAGTTATAATCATATATTGCTTTCATTATATAGACCGAGACAAATACATCGCTAATATGATATAACTGCAATTTACGGGAATGTTTCCGACATAAAACGCGTAAAACTCAATGCAAGACCATACTTAAGAATTATCCCGGTTTGTTGTGGATGTCATAATCATATCCCGGATGATTGCCGTAACCGGACATGTTTTAAACTTTCTGCGAGTTCCATTTCTTCTGCCATTCAACGAAGCCAAAATAATGAAGTAATTGCATTTTTAAAACAGGTCTTGAAGACGCTAGTTTGAGTGGGGTTGTAAATCAATTTTCAGGGTTTAACAATGTGTGGGATATATTTCGAATATTTTTTAATTTAAGCTATTGTGTTGGTAATTTCTATGCCGTGTTTGTAAGAGAAATCGCACACTCTTGTAAGTGGTATGTCATGTATGGCTTTAAAAGATGCACTTATTTTTTAGCATCGTAATATTCATTCGTCTTTTAACGTAATCGTAGTAAGTTACGCCCTCTGGTGGCGAGCGTTTCTATGACTCTAATTGGTGACGTTAAGGCCATTCAATTCGTCATTATCGTTTTGATCTTTAGTCGTCCATCTATAGCGATTATGTTTTGAGATGTTTACTATACTGTAGGTGACGAACAACAAAACTAAGCAAAGTCGACATTGTCTTCCCCATACACGTCGGTTTGACGTCACATAAGCGTGCCATCACTAGAGGGCGCTATTTATAGGACTGGTGTATATGGTAGTTGTCATTAATATATATATATATATATATACGTTTCTTGGGTAACTAGAGAGAGTTGTCTTTTATTGGAAGTCGTTATATCTATATCCTGTTCGCACGGTACGTGTGATCTGTGATATTAAAGGTGAACACCCCCATAAAGATAATTTAAAACCCGTTATGGGAAACACTCTATTTTATTAACATACACAGGTTTAATTACACACTTATCGATCGATGTTCTTACTTATCTTGCAGGTGAACTGTGTTGTACTGATCGCCGTTATGCGAGCTTTCATGACTATCCGAGCAACGGCAAAAAAGACGGAAATTGAAAAAATAAAGTAAGTTATAAAAAAAATCATACAATATCGCACACAAATATTCTGTGGGTTTAATCAGTTGTACGCCATAGTCTTTACTCGTCAATAATATATATATTCTTGATCGTACACAAGACGCAGAGTATATATGTTGTACACATTGTCATAAAACTGACATGCAATATAAGCAACAGTTTGAATAAAGTTGATCAGTTACTGGTATTTACAATATTTTTTCAGACAGATAATTAAATCAATGTTGCGAAAGAAATACGTTCAGAGCGTAAAACACAACCGTATGTTTAAACATATCGCAGTTTCAGTAAGCTATTGTCTCTCCAAATACAGGTCTGGATTGCGTGCTAGTGTCCTGCTTCTGCCAATATTGGGGCTGACGTGGATGTTCGGAATTTTTTCATTCAGTCAACACACAGTGTTTTTCCAATACCTGTTCGTGATACTAAACTCAACACAGGTAACGACATTAACTTCGATCGCAACACGTAAAGTGAAAGAAACATTACGTATACACAATTATACTTTATTATATATAGCAGGACGTATATAATGCTAACATTACTAGGGGTGTTTCTATTTTGGTACCAGGCTACCCGTGTCCCAAATATCTACGTCAATGATTAAGGTTATAATGATTATAAATACAAATATTTACGTAGATGTAATGTAATATTTTGGGAGGGAAGAGAGATCGGTACTCTGAAACGGATTGTTGTATCAGTCCAATTTAAATTTTTAATAAATATACAGAAATTAAAAAATATGACCTATTATATCTTATAAATTGATTGTTCACATGTTATACACATTGAGTTTATTATATTTCGATATAATGGTACATACATTCACAAACATGTTTTGAATAATGCATGCATAATAATAAGAGTGGATGTCTTGCGTAATACGTCATTCCGATAATTCGCACCCTCTAGTAACGCAGCGTGTCTGTGATGTAAAAATGACGTATGTAGTGAATGCAATGTCGTTCAAATCAACCACTGTCTACTTTACTTCATGGAAGTGACTACACACTGCACATTATTATGCGTTGTTGCTCTAAAGTGGTACGTCATTCCACTGTTATCAGAGCGGCAGTTGATATTGCGAGACATCAAGGTAATATACATGGATATGCACCATACGATTCACATTACACATGTTATCTGTCACAGGGGTTTGCCGTATTTATTTTTCACTGTGTGATGAACGACGAAGTGAAATCAGCCTGGCATCGAAAAAGAGGCACGAGTGTCTTCAGTTCAGGATATTCTTCTTCGTCAGAAACTAAATCAACTACTGCCACTAGTGCAAAGGTAGGTGACAAATTAAATTACCTATTTCGAGATTAAACTTCAAACATGTTGATTTATCTGTATATTTATTAGGAGTGACATTCACGCCTTATGTGCGTTGAATTTTTAATTGCGAAACTTTTATTTTTCATTCTCTATATCCAAAGTGTAATACATTCTCACAAATTGAAAACGCAATATTTACATTATTTTTTTTTTCAGATTGCCACCGTTTCAGATGAATACATAACAAAAGAAAAAATCGCACAAGCATGGAAGTAGGAAAGAAGCTGGTTTGTTAACGGACTCCCTGTTGCCATGTATCTATACATATTTGGGTAACCGTTGCGAATTAAACATAAATTGTTAATGTATTGTTAATATGTTATTGAGTAATATATATATATTTCAATGAAGATACTCCTTTTAATATGACAATACCTCATCAGCACATTTGTACTCTCGATTCACCAGTGTAAATAATGCACTCGAAATGTAAAATTCACACCTTCCGCAATATACACTCTTTATCATATTCCGTCCATTGTATTACTGTTTGGGGTTAGCTTGTAGATTAGCCAGATATGCAATCACTACTTTTTACTATTGGTGTGAATTTATACATGTCTACTCTAATGAAGCCGGTCTCCATCACTGTGACAAACACTGTGAAAAACACTATGACGAACACTATGACAAACATTGTGACAAACACTGTGAAAAACACTATGAAAAACACTGTGACAAACATTGTGACAAACACTGTGACAAACACTGTGACAAACAATGTGACAAACACTGTGACAAACATTGTGACAAACACTATGAAAAACACTGTGACAAACACTGTGACAAACACTGTGACAAGCACTGTGACAAACAATGTGACAAACACTGTGACAAACAATGTGGCAAACACTATGACAAAGTAAAGTAACGTTTTAGTGCATTATATTATTAGCTTGATTGCCATCAAAGCTTGTAGGCTTAGATGTTCACAAATATATGTTTTTAAATGACGCTTGGAGAAATGCACTTGATGGTTGCAGTTTAACACTATCTATTGGTGTTCTTCCTGTTTATCGTGCCGGGGATTGTTACAGTTTAAAGTGGAATAAATAAACAAATAAACGAGTGTGGGTCTCAGTGTCGTACAAGGTCATCAAGTTGGCCACTTCTAAGTCTATAACAATTCCTAACTAATTGCGTAACAGTCACTAATATATAGGCATAATTAACATAAATTTAAGCATACTGTTTTATAAATGTTTGACCGTTAAAATTTCGTGGTCGCTTAGTGGAAATTGTTGTTGTATTCATATATGATACTTATGGTATGTTACTGCGATTCACAAAGTGAAGAAACGTATTGTATCAAATACAAAATTCACAACACATCTCAAACATCAACGGGTATATTTCAATGTATATTAAGAGCATTGTAATGCTCTGAATGTCTCGCTTCAACTTTGGCAACGACTATACGCCTACGATGTATTTATACAAGTATGCTGCACATTTAACGGATATCTTATTACATTATTGCAATACCTTGAATCTGTAACCTGACTTGTCATTGATATATTTACTTCATTTCCGACGACAAACATTATTTTATTACTTTTAATTAAATGTAAACACGATGATATACACCCGTAATTCTGTATTGTTTATATATCAGATAATAATAATAAATCACATTTATTCACACATTGATATGATTTATTACAAAAACAACATTGTTGTTATTAGAAACTCAGAAGTAAGTAGAGACCCCAGTCGCATTTATTATACTGCCTTCAATGTTTGTAACTACATCTGACCAATCAATTACTTACACATATCGCGTTGAAATAGCGTAGAGTCACCAACCAATCAAATATAGCAATGCACTCTCTAGTAGAAGCACGCTAATTGGATGACAGACGTGATTTATTTATACATTTCATTGGTTTTAGCAACCAATTAGATCGGAACAATAATTAAAACAGAACGGAGTCTGTGGTGGGGATGTACACCCGCGCCCACAGAACCTAGTCAACAGCATATCATTCATATATACTAACAGACTAAAAAACTAAAACTGTCTAAAAACTTTGTGGTTTGGGAAGATCCAGTCTATACCACGGCACTTCAAGCCGATGACATATATTGATCTAGCCTGTTCTGTGTTGTCATATTCTAAAATTGTTGGAGCTCTTAGATAGGAACATATTTATCCGTTTGTTGAACTGAGCAACACATATGCAATATCACCAATATTATTAATATAACAGAATCATTACTAGCTGGTGTTCAGTTGTCATTGATTTTTTTAATTTTAACATGCTCGATTTTTATAATTAAAGGTAGGAGTCATTGACACTGACACAACATACATAAAGTGAATTACAGTCCAAGAACACAAATCAATAGACAACAGCTTTGACTGGGGGTAGCTTCACAATTCATGGCGATATAGTGACCATGTAAAACCATTGCAAAATGAGTATGCATCAAGCAAATAACGAAAAATATCATTTGCGTTCCTTAAAAAAAAGAGAAAGTGACCTATTGTGCTTCTTTGTTATTCCTGGTCTTTTGATCACACCGGCTTAAAGTGAAAAGTTTGAATTGTAAAAAAATAATGCTAGCTTCCCACAAAGATAATGGAAAATGGTGCATTATAAACATGATATTGTATAGTGCTCATTGTATGTATATTTATATGCGTGTGACATTATATCTAAGTAATCGAAATATATGTATTCATGAAGGTCACGTGTCTTATGATCGATAATAGTGAGACAGTTTATTTGAGTTGAAAAACAGTTCAATAATAGTTCTTTTATGACCGCCTTAGCAGCACGCTGTGGATTCAAGTAGTTTAGGATGCCTATTTCAATTAATGAACAAGCATATGCCATTTATGAGTACCTAATGGGGCAGAAATCCGATGTGGTATGTCCGTGTTTTCGAATTTCCTGGCTGTGTGGTAAACAAGAATAAGCACTTTGGCAATATTGGTGCCACGTGGTTAGTGCAGATGAATATTGAAGTGTTTTGTGGAACGTCGCACTAGAAACTAAATTTGAAAAATAAGCATTCATTCATTCATTCATTCATTCATTCATTCATTCATTCATTCATTCATTCATTCATTCATTCATTCATTCATTCATTCATTCATTCGTTCGGTCGTTCATTCATTCATTCATTCGTTCATTCATTCATTCATGCATTCATTCATTCAGTTATAACAGTTGTTGCACACACACACACGATTTTTGAGGTAAGTTATTTATTATTACGTAATACATTTTTTACAGAGAAAATAAGAATACAATCTATGTTCCTATCCGAACAAACATTGATATTTATTATGTAGGAATTTACCATACTCTTGCGTGAAACCCTAGAATGTGGTGCTATTTGTAATAACGACGAGATATCGTTCCAGGTTCCCATTGGACAATATGAAACAGGTTCGTTGATCGATGTTACATTTTAACTTGAGAATAATATAAAAAGAAACAGTTTTATGTGGCAATTGTATTATGTAATATGTACCTACATGGAAACAAATATTATTTTGGCATGAAGAAATAAGTATAAAGACAATCATGATCAACTTCCTACTAACTTGTGTACTGTCACATCATGATGATGTCACTCTGATTTGTAGATACAAACACATTGTAAGTAAACATATGGTCAAAATGGTGATTGATCGTTTTGATGGTAATGTCTCCTGCGTTTAATTTCACACATAGCGAATGTTATACATGCCAAACGGCAACAACACTGTTGTTACTATGGGGCGTTGCCTAGTGACGACTCATAATAACTAATTGATGCGAACTTTGCTAACGTAGGGGCCTAGCAGTGATTTTATTGCGGTCAGCTGGGTATGCTGAAATAAAAAATGAAATAAAATAACGTTGAATGAGAAAATAATCTGCATGATAAAGTTACCGATACTACACAAGCACAATAATGTTTGAGAAAATAGTTTTGCATATTACCTAATAAACGCAAGAATGGTCTGTCAGACATTCAATTATCGCCCAAATTGTTTCACAGTGACCCGACACTTTTTGTGTGTGCACATATATCCATATATTCTCATTTAGTAGACGATGATCACAACATATTACACGGATGTGACCTTAACAACCCAAGTAGGATATTTCACGGTCTTGAATTATATGTAGCGTCAATGAACATACGTGTTTTGTTACTTCCAATAGCCCTTCACTGCAATCTTCACCAGCTGAAATAATAGCGTGTTCACCCTACTTATCTGTGCGCACCGTTTAGGGTAATAGAAGTCACCATCTGAAGTGTACTGTATTCACTAGATAGAAGATGCAGCTATGGCTTCATTATAACGCTTACAGACTAGCTTGAAAGTCAAGTACAAAACACTATTTTGACACAGTTGCACACAAACACGATTAATACAGGATAGGGTAGACGACAGGTCAAGGTGAATACGTGCAACAAACTGAAGAAAATGGAAAATATTCACACATAAGTCAATTCGAAACTACTTATAAACAGTATTAAGACTAAACAAGAGAGATCTGCTTCTGCTCCAAAGTGATGCGATTTTTTCAACGGTGGGTTATTTTATTTTCAAATAATAATAATAAAAATACCACCACTAAGCCCTCATATAACGATAACAATATTTTGCATAATATTTCTCTTTTAATACCGAGTATGTAAACAGAAATCGTGTTAAGATATAGTCACGTGATGAATACAGAGTACGTCAAATCAAATTATAAAGTTGGGATGAAGAATGTAAATTTTAATTACATTGTTTTAACGCGTCAAAGTCGTCGCACGCGATTGTTGAAAACAATCAATGCATTTTTATGCAGTATATACGTCACATGGCCTCACGTCGACTGTGGAATTTTTTCAGCAAAGTAAGTTACACACAATTAACATTTATACATATCTAAACAATATACCAAGTATGAGAGTCTCCATTAAGCAAATCATTGCGGACCTTAGTCGCCCAAATAGCTAGTCAGCGAGCCCCACTTCAGAATAAAATGATTTTCGCTTATGATTTCTTTTTCAACATTCATTTTTATCTTTACATTTCTGATAAATGTGTTAGAAAAGGAGTTAAATTTGTATAGTGACTCGTATATAACAAGTATTTTCCTATTAAAATGAGGTGATTCAATTAAGCACCTTCCAAAGAATATATTTGCAATTTTGCCTTCCCAGAAGAGGCGCTCTATTGTCTACTATTTACTATCATTATCAGTTCTAAGTTTGTTCTG